TAGAATCGGTAGATAAAGAGTTGAATCTCTTTACATTCAGGATTTTGAATCTTTTAATATGTGAGTGAATCACATTGACTGCAAAAGTGAATCACAGTATCAAAAATTAGGTATTTTCAAAGCAAACGTGACATTTACGTATTTGTTGGTGCTTTCACACTGGTGGGTTTTCTATATCAGAGTCTAAATCAGCAGTCCCATAGGATGTAATGAAGACTCCTGTCATTCCACACTCAGTCGCAGTCATCAAACTATGCCTTTGTTGCCCCTATCAGTAAAAATTACATAGCCAAATACCAAAAATATTTACATACCAAAATAATTAGTTTATGAAATTTGGTATATAAACTTACTATATAAAATAAAAAAAGCTACACCGTGTTGATATGCTATATTGCTACTATAGAACTCCTACTAAAAAACTAAAATACCTCCAATTGTTTTGTGTACATAGCTGCAGTGACTTTACTGCAACTTTACTTGAACTCATTTGTGAGCTGTGCACATTGTTTACATACATGTTGCTGCTATGCTGACATTTTTGACACACCCACCAAAGACAATGTTTTTCAAATCCTGCTGGTTGGCTGTTTGCTACTGATGTCAGGCCTTCGTATCCACACTCTCCATAAACTTAGGGCCAGTTTTAATTCTACACCTTAGCCCTTCCGCTTACTACCCGTCGCATACATGTGAATGTACCAGTGTGTACCAGCCCTAAGGACTGGTAAAGTATGACTGTTTGATAAAAAAAAGCACTAATCTGGCAGTAAATACTAAGCTCAGAATTGATTTAAGAGAGAATCAAAACGCAATCAGAAAGTCAAAGAATTGATGCAGAATCATTTCTCGATTTGCAATGCATTGATTTGTTGTCCCAGCCCCAATTTTAAGCAAGCAAACACAAACAATTTACATTCTCTGTACTCACTGCCTTCCTCTTAGTGCTGCTACTGGCCACCATTTTCTTCTCCGACCTCTGAACACTTGAACTCCCAAAAAAAGCCATTACTGATGTGGGCATCTGTTTTGGTGGGGTTGGTGCCACCTTAGGGGAAACGGTGGGTTGAGAACTCTTCACCCCTCCCTTCACCGTGCTGGGGGATTTGACTGGGGATTTGCTGGAGGAGACTTTCACTTGTTTTGCTTTTCCTGAATCTGATTCCTTCTTGCCTTTAGCCGTTCCATTCTCTTTAGGTTTGGGCTTTTTCAGAGTCTCAAATGTTCCATCCGAATCTGAACAAATATACAGAGAGAGGAAAAATTATTATGCGCAGGTATAATATAATGCTGAAAACCAACTGATATTGCAGGATGAAATTTATTTGATGACTTACCAGAATCAGACACATAAGTTACTGGGTGTTTCTTCTCTGTGGGGATAGAAGTCTCTTTAGTGCTCTTTTTGGTCTTTACCTTCTTCTCTTCTTCAGAGTCTAAGATAAGATGAGAGAGGAGAACATCTGAGAACATCTGAATGTCTCAGGCAGGTTTTTATTTTTAGATGCCAAATAGAATGACTTAATGCACAGGACCATAAAGGTTCAAGATACTTAAGAACTTTGTGTTTTGAACATCAGTTAAGACAATGTTAGCACTAGTCAACTTTAATTGTGGAAAAACCTGGATAATTTTGAGCTTTTGTCAACTAATTTCATCTTCCGGGTTTAAAATGACTTTTTGGACGGGATCAAAATCGGTGATGTAGCGCGAATATGCTAGTGGAGTGATGATGCGTCAGTTTTTCATTATTATTATTCATAGCAGAGCTTTCTTATCCTGTGAAAAGACCCTGCTTTTTAATTATTTATGAGAGCACATGTTTTCCGAAGGCTAGATAGACCTGCCAAACTGTGAGATCCAATGACTGGGTGAGATCGAGTCCGCGTACGGCAAGCAGTATTTGTTTGTTTATTGGTTTTTTGCTTGTTTTTCACTGCAATGCTGTCAGGGCCGATACAGCAAAGCTGTTGGTTTGCAGCAAGCATTTTAGTTGGGAGAGCTGTACGAGAATTGGAGAATGGTGGACTTTGTCTTTTATCAGTTGAGTTCATTACCATTCAGACACATCCCCTATAACCGTGCTACTGTGTTCGCTTATTTTTAAAATTCTCCAGATTACCGGCAGGGTTAATGGTTGAAAAAGATAGGGCAAGAGATCTGCTGCAATGCTCCGTGTCTGCATTCAGACCCGGGGATTCAGGAGAGAAGTCCTCCTCAATTATAGTGTTTATATAAACAATTATTATCTTTATAATGATATAACAAATTGTGGTTATGTGTATATGAAATTACGAATAACAAATGTAGCACGGCATTAAATTACTGCTTATTACTTTGCATTTTAACTTAATATAAAATCTAGAAAATCACGCGTCTCCTCACAGTTTGTGTCTCATTTTGTGAGCCAACTGACAAAAGTTGTTCGCTTCCCTCTTTCTCCCCCTGCTCTGATGGCCACGCCCACTCCTCCCTCTTCTCACGGCGCTCCACACCCACTATGAAGCATTTTTTATTTATTCTGAGGTAGACTCAAACCGAAAGAGGGGGGTTTCATGGCCCTTTAAGTCATGGTCTTCAATCATTAAAACCTTATAAAAAGTTTTTTTAAATGGAACTCTAATCTAAATAAATATTTCAGGTTTAACTTTTTAAATATTATTTATCTTTACTTTTTCAAAACATTTTTACAGAGCATCTTTATGGTCTCTTGATGGACCCTATTTTAAAAGCTCCATTTTATTCTTTTCTACTCTTCTTCTGTCTGAACTAATTTATTGTATGTACACAACAGAATCCATATCTTAACAAGCCTGATTATCAATGTTTAATCAACTCTGAATATGAACCTGAATCAACTATAACTCTTTTCTTTCTTTTCCCGCTGGGTTTCTCATCAGATTTGGGGCTTTTGACCTAAAGAAAGAAAGAAAGAGAGACTCTATGACACTGCACGATGCACACAACATCAGCATGCAAATGAATGTTGTTCACATGTCATTTTACCTTAGGTCTTGATTTTTGTTTCTTCTTCTGCTCTTCATCAGTACTTGTGCTTGTGCTTCCATTTGAAGCTTTCTGGGCCACAGGCTTGGTGGACGTAAAAAACCTCCGGATGTCCTGAAATGAGCATTGCTGAATTAGAGACTTGCGAACATGTGTACACACAAACAAACAAACATACATATACATACATACCATACACACAGGCAAGCCCAAAATTATTCATACACTAGTGCAGTTTTCTTCAAATGTAAATAAGAGGTGAGAAACATTTGTTTACAGAATGATGTCTCTCGATGTGCATCGTCTTAAGGTCCCTTGAAAAACTTGCTAAGTCAGAATTTGCCAGAGGTATGAATAATTTCGGGCTTTACTATATAAACACACAGTTTATTTCATTTTTATTTTATTGTTTACTTTAAAATTACATAAGCTACAAAACGTGCAGTGCAGAGCAAGTAGCATTGTAACCGCATGGATGAATTTGTTGTTGACTGTTTACATTTCAAAGTCGACAATAACAAACAGGAAGCAGGTGGTAAAGCACAAACACCTGTAGTTAACTTATATATGAAAAACTGAAGCTCATATTGACTGTCTGCTGTTGACAAAGACAGTTGATCTTGATCATTAAGTTATTCACACTTTTTATGTTTCTCAACCATGGCGTAAACAACCAAGGCTTAAAAACAAACGACGCAAACACGGACTTCAAAATTCATAAATAGCCTATATATGATTTATTATTTTTGTAGCCTAAGTTAATCTGCTAATTAACAAGTAACGTTAAAAAGGCTGCAAGTTCGAGCTGCTTTTATTTCAGCTTGATCAGCTACACCGACCTCGTCTCTGATTGTGTCTTTACTTCTACATACAGTGCATTAATGAAGCGACTCACCATTGCTAATCATATGTCAAAATATTTTCTTTATTTTTGGACAAGCTGCGGGCAGGTAGTGCTTCTCCAATCCTCTTTGGCGCCAATGATAATCAACAGGGAGGCGCAGTGTGATGACGCGCAGATGGAGAGAGAGAGAGAGAGAGAGAGGGAGGGAGACAAACGCACGCAGCAGATGCAGAGACAGCGCACATGCTAATCTTTCCTTCCTTCCTTCTTAAAACTGCACATAGTAAAATTAAATTTTAAAATAAATATTTTAAAGTTGGTGAAATGATACTACCCCGCCAGCTGTGAATTGTGAGAAATCATTGATCAATGTTACAAACTGAATCACAACATGTAATTAATCCTTTATTATATAAATGTTTGTTTTTTCAGGACCTGTAGTAATTCTTCAAATGTTTTCGCAGCAGATGACCAAATACACGCTTTAAAAAAACTTTTAAAAGTTTTTGCGCTTTCCTAAATATCCTGCAGTGATGCCTTTATTTGGGTTATGCGGATGTTCCATGCACAGATGTAAGACTTTATACAACTATTTGTTAAGATTATTGGGCAACTTAATACTATAGAAAATTTATTTGAATGCAATCATCTCCACGATATTATATATATATATATATATATATATATATATATATATATAAATAAACACTGGTTAAGATGGCAACACAATGCATTAAAAGCAGAAATGCGAAGATGTAAATCAGATAATTGAGGTAAATAAATTCCAATTCTAGGAAAAAGTAAAAGTATTAACCTCTGACTACCTTTAACTTTTTGAAAGCAAATCCTACTACTGATCTTCATGCTCTGTGAATCATTTAGTACGATTTGAAAAAGGGCCAAATACACAAAAAGCAAAACACCTGCCATGTGGACGTTTGCATGTTCAGGACAGACCACACACAGCTATTTCAAATCCTTAAAAACTGCTCTTAGAATGCTTTAGATTACACAGACCCTTATTTTTGTTTTTTGGATATTTGCAATTCAATGATGACATGCTTTCATCATTTCTTTTTGTGCTTTACTTTGTAAATTCTACTGAGCCGAGGGCAGGCTGCGTCCATTCTAAAATGTTAATTCATTAGATTGTGTATTGTTTTATATACAAGAAACTAAAACATACTTTTACACCTGGACCAAAAAACAGTGAATACAAAAGAATGCGATCAAGTTTTTCCAATACACGTAGCTCATATTCTACTACATGCACATTAACCCTCATTAACTAAAGACTTTCATGAAACTAGACAGTATCAACATGAATGAAACTCCTGCACACATATATGATTGAAAAATGGAGTTGGTCTTTATTGACAGATTTTACAGAGACTAATTTAGTCCTCTTGCTGTTCCACCACTGTGCCCTTCTCGCTGACATAAATCCCATCCAGGAACTTCCGGATGTCCTTCTTCCTCACAGTGGTGGCCTGCTGGATCAGAGCAGCTGATGGACAGAAGAAAAGACAACTCATTAGAGACAGACCTGTTTTAAATAGAAAGGCGGTGCACCCACAAACTCCCATGTGCTACAAAATAGACGTGTAACATGCAAACCAAGCCAGTGGTTAGAGCTGTGGACTAAAAAGCCTTGTTAAGTGTTGTCATGCTTGGATGAATGTGAACATGCAAAAGAGGGACACAAAATCCTGTAAAGTTAGTGTAAAAAAAGCTACTTGGCTTGTAAGAGACAGACAACTCAGTCTGAAAATGGCATGAATTGAAATTTGGCACAATCAAAAAAAGATTGGACATATTTAACAGAGCATGGAAGACAACACAACGGACAGCTTCAAAGACGAGAAGCAGGAAAGAGGCGAATGAAAGGCGATGGGCAGCAGTGGCTCCTGTCACCCTGTACGGCGGTCTCGTTCTAACCTCTCGGTTCTCTATGACTCTGCCTCCACTACAGTGCCTTTTTCAGAGACGTAAATACCGTCCAGGAACTTTCTGATATCCTTATTTTTCACTGTGGTTGCCTGCTGGATGAGGGCCGCTGAAACAAGAAATGCTAGGGAGGTGAGGCATGCGCACACACTTCTATAATTCCACACTTCCTCTCACACACATCTTGCATACAAAGAGTCACAAACACAGTCTTTTCTATCACTCATGTTATGTAATCAAGGGTTAAGGATGTCAGGAGAGGGAAAAAGGAGGCTATAAACGTTCACAGAAGATTAAACACCACATCAGGACCTGCAGGTAAGAGCAAATAAATAATAACAAAGGGATTCATACTGTGTGAAGGGGAACAGTCTAGGTTTAGAGTTACACATCTGCACAATCCAGTAAAAAAGAAGAGCCATGTAAAACGTAATTATTAAACATTTAAAAGAAAAAAATGGTCTAGATTGTTTATCCAAACTAGTTTTTTTTTCTTTTAAATGTATAAAATGCTGGATAAGCCACTTTTGGAATTTAGGAAAAAGCACAAAATCTGATCTAATATTGGAATTAAACAAAACATTAACAAAAGGATAACTAGGAGAAACCCTTTGTTTGGCACAACCACTTTTATTTCATCACAGCAACAGCGAGATGGTTTCAGCCACCAGCATTTATATTCAAAGATGTCTGCTAAATTATTATTTTAAGTAACATTTAAGTATAACAAATCAATATAGTATCTAACTGAATTTGGAATTGGGACCGTATAAAGATACAAAGCTGGTCAAAAAAATCATAATAAATGTATGTATAAAATATATAAAAATTTATATAGGCCTTTAGAACTAGAATAGCAGGGAAATTCTACTCTTACCATCCCATTTCAATTCATAAAGCAGTGAATATTTCAGGATTTTGTCATATATTGACAGACCACATCGTAAAGAGATGCTCACCTGAGTTTGACACCAGCTCAATATCATTACCCTCCAGAACCAACTCGTCTTTTTGAGCGGCAGACACTGCACATGCAACTCCTACACAACAAAAAGTAAACATCGGTTTTATGAAGTCAAATTTCATACAGAGCAGGACTACACAAATTATGCTAAAACATTAGGCTAATTCAGACAACATGCAGACTCACCTTGCCTCATGCGGACACGGCGGATGTACTTCTCTCCCAAGAAGTTTCTGATCTCCACCAGAGAGCCAGACTCTTGGATGACCACATTAATGGGAAAATGGGCATATACAGATCGCATTTTGTACCTGAAGCCCTGGGAAACAAAAAAAAGCATTTTATGGCAGCCCTTATTTATTTAATATGATTGGGAAAAGATTAAAGCACCAACACATTACACTACTTACCAGGGTGACACCCTTGATCATGTTCTGGACATGACTGCAGATGGTGCGGACGGTGGCCAACTCCTTTCTGTTACCCCACCACTTATCCACACGCAGCTGAAATGAAAAAAATAATGTAAAAATAAAATTTAACTGATATAACAAACTTATGCTCCCTTCCAAACAACCTGAAATTAGGACTTTTATTTCTTCGAAATCACATCTGATACTGCTTTAAGTCATATTTCAACCTGTCAACTCATTTGAGCTCGAACACCCCAGAGACACCATCATTTAATCACTTCACAGACGGCAGCTAGATCAACTGCAGTGAGATTACTGTGGAGCTATCTTATGTGAAACTCAAAAGTATTTTACTAGCACAAAGTGTGGAAACCCTACTAAAGGCTATTTCTAAGACAGTCAAAAGCACAAGAGACATCACGCATTTTCTGTTCATTTCATCTGTGTTATAAAACATTATTCACACCACACATGGTGAATATGCAACAGTGACGTGTAACTAGCTAGAACCCACTGAGGTCAAAAATCAAACATTTCAATGCAGAATTGATCAGATCTGTGTCTGAAACAGCATAATATGATGGCCTCTATTTACAACAAGTACTAACATGCATGACAGGGTATATGCAAATGGCCTTTTTATTTTCAGCATCCTGGGTCAATTGATTTCGGTGAACTGTATGCAGTGACAAAATCTGCGCAAAGTCTGTTTTCTTAAAAAAAACAACAATCTCCACTGCCTGATTTGCTATACGATAAAAAGTAGGTCTCAGGACGTGCAAGAGGCACTGCATCAAATGATGTTTTACCACATCATGTCTTTAAAATATAAAAAATGATTTCCCCCCAGTATTTTCAATGGAGTTTCTGCACTCGTCTGCTGATCCTGACAGCATGTGCGTGTAAATGGCATTTCATTTGTTTTACATGAAAAAAATAAATGCATAAGTCTAGTTAATTGATTATATTTTAATTACATTTTAACATAAATGCTGTAAAAGGAATCCTACAAAATTGAAAAGTCCATTAACTGGAGGTTTATCTGTATGGGAAGAAATACTAGCTGTGCATATACCCTACTAAACAGCCACAAAGCATTACTCGCTAATTTTGAACAAGTGTTGGTACATTTTACACCACTTTTACATAGAGTTAATTATAGCACAAACTACTGAAAGAGCAAACCTATGCCAAGCGCCTGTGGAAAGCAACTACAATATTTGTACAATATTTTACGCACATTATGCTGCTTTTCCACTGAGTGATACAGTACAGCTTGGTTTCGCTAGGCTCGACTTCCACTGCCATTTAGTAGCACTTAAAGTGGTGGGATCATAGCTATAGCTGTGCCCTCTCTACTGCTTAATGTTTTCATTCCAAGTCATCCCATTTAGCTCCTAAGCTACAAACAAGAGAAATCTCTGGAACTTTTCTACTGACCCCAATGCTGCCATTTCAGGTGTCTATTTTGTGCAGTGGATAAAAACTATTTAGTTATGCCACCCAACAATACAGCATTGGCCGCTGCTGACCATTTCATTATAGTGGCTTTTAAGTCTCTTGTCACAAATCCAATAACATTAGAAGTGCCAATTTTCTCAGAACCATCAGTGATCAGCAGTGTGTATACGAACACTACATTTTGCTAATGTTACAACTGGTTTGGAAGATCACCTAAAGTGGCAGTAAAACAAAGCACCAGGTACAGAAGTCCGTGGAAAAAGCACTACATCGACCACATTAAGCTTGCAGGCAGAGTGGGAGGAAATGTTTAAACTTAATTTCATATTCTTGAAATTGAACTTGCAAAACATCCAAAATATAAAAGACATTAACACTGAGAAATGTCAAATTTCACTCAAAAAGGTTTTGTACTTAGTTTAGTTGCATTATGCAAAGTAGATAGACATTTTACGTATAATAATTCAATAGACATTTTATTTGGAATGAATTTGACTGGACCAGCTCAGATGTTTACATGAAGGCTTTTTAAGTCATTAATAAATGCATTGTTGCATTTTAACAACTCCAGCAAGAATGATACACAATGCAGTTTCAGGCCCATATATCAAAACTAAGCTACAAACCTTTTTCTGTTTTTTGCCCAACAGACTGAGTTCCAGGTTAATGTGGTTGAACTCCCGGCGGAGAACACCACGGGGTCCCTTCACGGTAACTGTGCGGCCCTTGAGGGACACCGTGACTGCAAGCAAAAAAACGAAATTGATGTTGCTTTAGACACAAACGTGTAAATAGTTTCAAACGTTAAGTATGATATTTGACGTACCATTGTCAGGGATGTCCACTGTCTGGTTACTGAGAATGGTCTTCATTCTGAAACGATAGAGCAACGTTAGAAACCCTTAAATGATTCGAGCAGATACTACGTGCTACTACGTTAGCCAAGACAAACTTCTCGAGTCGCCTCAATGGCACAATTTTTAGCCTTGAATTGAATTTTAATTATACGCGAAAATTTCAAGTATATAAAGAAAAGTATGGCTTGATATGAATGTGCTTAATGAATGACTTGAAATTGCTACGGCCTTTGAGTGCCGCTGACAGATAAACACAGACCGGGCTGTCTATTAACAAAGACCATCGGGTTTTCTCTCATCAATACATCCACGGATATATATATAAGTGTGTAAGCTATATCATGAGGTACCAGGGAAACCTAACAGGCTTCATAATAACGCAGATTGAACTTGATTCAAATGCACAAGAACAGGATTCGCCATGTTCTTACCTCGCCGATTAAGGGGGAAAGGAAGGAGGAAGAACGTCATGACGTAAATGTAACCAGTACGTTTTGCGTCACCGCAAATCTTTAAGGCACGACCAAGCGATTGCAGATAATGAAAGAAACAAAGTTATTGATGTGAACTTTCTTAAATTGTATTACATCGCAATATACAAATATCAATTTATTTATTATGCATATATTTATTAATATAGATATTTGTTTTACGCACACGTTAGCGAGGTCTATGCATAACTGCAGTGTAGATGAATCGATGTCAGAGTGATTGTTGTCAATGACAGGCTCGAGCTGGATCTAAAGTCATGGCGTTGATCAGTAGAAGTTGTGGAGCTGCGAGCCGATATTCTTCAAGTCATCTGTTTTTACCATCTAAAGGCGCCGAGGCGGCTAATGTAAGCATTTTTTTGCTTCGTTTAAGTTTAACGATTGACTGTACAAAAACACAATGCTAAACATTTCAGCTTTACCTACCGGCGCAGGCCAGTAACGTTACTACAGAAGTTATTGCAACACACTCACTTGTCAAATGTAACATTAGTCAAATTAAGCGGAATGTTTTCACGTTATTAGCAGAGCTTGTGTTATAGTGCATGTGTTCATTTACAAGGTAACGTTAGAGGAAGGTCACGTTATGAAAGTTGTATTATTATTAATATTTTGAAGCGCCCTGATTTAGTACTTGTTGTCGAAGGTGTACTGTAACAGACTGAGCACTGCTGCCAGCACATCATCATCATCATCACCATCCACACACAATGACAGGAAGAAAGACCTGAGGGAGGATGGACTGAACCTGCAGGACTTCATATCTGGAGAGCTGTCAGAAAAGAGCAAGTGGGAGGAATACAGAGGCAACCTAAAGAGAGAAAAAGGAGAAAGGTGGACATACACCACTGTATCTTTCTCATTTGTTATATTTTGATGAGCTACTTACAAATTATCAGTGTGATTTACTGGTGTTTTGATAATCAGAGATCTTTGAAGTAATATCATCTAAATCTTTAAATCAAAGTGTCAAACTGTTTTACATTTACATTTAGTCATTTAGCAGACACTTTTATCCAAATATTTTATTGGCCATCAGTACTGTACCAACGCTGCAAAAGTACAGTAAATCACATGAGTTGGAAAAAGTTACTGTATATATAAATATAACGTTATTCAATTCAATTCATCTTTATTTGTATAGCGGTTTTACAATGTAGATTGTGTCAAAGCAGCTGCACATAGAAGATTATAGTGAATTGAAACAGTGTAGTTCATATATCATTTTTTTTCTTTTCTTTGAAAGTCACTTAATCATTCAATCAAAGTTTGTATTTTAATCTCAGTTTTGCTTTTAAACACTTATTATTTTTAACAAATAAAAGATGTGCTTTAATAGCTTAGTAACTGAAAGGACGCAGACTTTGTCCTGTTATTAAAAAATATTTCATGAAATTAAGACGTACCCATTTAACGTGATAGATTGATTGATTGATTGATTGATTGATTGATTGATTGATTGATTGCCTGTAAAATATCTCTCATATCATGTTTAATTGAATAATTATTATAAAATACTGTTATGCATTTTTAACATGATTTAAAAACATCTTTTAAAATGTCAATATATATATAAATAGTTTACACACAAGAAATTATCTGGTCAAACATATTTAGAACTATCTATTTTTGTTTTTTTGCACTTAACTTCTGTTCTTTAAACAACAAGTTGTACATATTTTCAGTGAGAAGTTTATAATTATAATTCTATTTAATAGCATATGCCATGATGACTTACACTTTTTATATAGTATAATAAATACAGGTCAGAATAAGTATGTTGCTTTATTTTTATATATAAATGTATGGATACAATTATTATTATTATTATTGTTATTATTATTATTATTTTGTTACTAAAAATCACACAGACTTCTCCCTAAAGATAACACAATAATGTTCAAGAGGCATCATTGTGGGAAAAAATATATTTCTCAGGTTTGATCAAAAAGTGGCATGACCAAAATGAGTCATACTATTCTCAATAATCAATAGAAACGTCTTTATTGGCTATTACAGCAAATCAAACACTTGCTATAATTGCTGACCAGCTTTTTGCATATCTACACTGGTAATATTCATCTCCTTTTCATTTCCCTGATCTTTACTCTGAATCACAATATAACAGCATATATAATGTTTTATATTACACATAATAACATTTTTATTATCACAAAATGTATTTTGCAACGTTTATGTGGACACTTCTTGAAATATGCATGAAATATGCTTTGTGTGTGTATATAAAATCCCAGTCCAGATGATTTAACCAGTTGTTTGTTTGTTCCCAGGTTAAGGCTACCACCATGGCTGAAGACAGAGATTCCTATAGGGAAAAACTACAACAAATTGAAGAATACACTTAGAGAATTAAACCTCCACACAGTAAGTGTCTTGAATCATTGTTTTAAAATCAAGTTAATCAGAACTACTCATTTAAATACAATAAACATTGTTCTCTTGACTGTAAGAGCAAAAATGCAAATGCAGCCTGAAGCATCAAAAATTAGTGCAAAAAAGAGACTTTGTTTCATTATGCTATTCTTAAAAAAACGTAAACAATACTTTTATTCTGCAAATGTGCATGATGTGGTACAAAAGTGGCAGTAAACACTGTTGCATGTTTAGAAATTTTTTTTTTTTAAATATTCTTGAAATAAATCTTTATTTAAACTTCCTACCAAAGTAAAGGCTAATATTTAGATTTCAGCATTGACAATGAAAAGCTAGAAGCTTACGTTTGATTGGAAGCTGTTTAATTAACAGTGTGGTAAATAGGATTAATGTTATTTCTCTCTTAACTCAAAATCTTTACAGAGAAAAATTATTACCATTCACTTTTAGTGTGCATAATTATGGGATTATTATAAGGACATTCTTGTATAATTAACCTCTTTCATGTTGCACAGCAAAAAATAAAACATTAGGAAAGGATGAAAAAAGTTTAATTGGGGGTTAAATAGTTCCATTAATGAAAAATAAAAGCCGCTTTTGTTCCTAGTAGTACATGAATTCTTGACTATTCTAATGGTTCCAGGTCTGCGAAGAAGCCCGTTGTCCAAATATTGGTGAATGTTGGGGTGGAGGAGAGTACGCCACGGCCACAGCCACCATTATGGTGAGTGTGCTGGTTCTGTAAAACACCCGTACAATAACAAAATCTTATGATAATGCTCTCTTTCCAGTAGAACCTTAGCTGATTCTCTAATGGAGAACTGTGATCTGTAAACTCCTGCTGTCTCATTCTCTCTCCATAGTTAATGGGGGACACATGCACACGTGGCTGTAGGTTTTGTTCAGTTAAGACAGCGAGACGTCCTCCACCTCTTGACCCCGATGAGCCATATAACACCGCTAAAGCCATTGCAGCATGGGGTCTGGACTATGTAGTACTCACATCAGTGGACCGAGATGGTGAGGAAATGTAACTCTCCACTGACAAACACTAAAGCAGGTCGCACTCGCACACTGGATGTGCCGCAACATGGCGCGCACATAACCGTTGAAAGTATCACAGACCAAACGCGCACATTCGCATGTTATTTAAAATTAAACTATTCAGATGGCGCTATGTGGCGTGGCAGAAATATGAACTGTATCATGAGTCGTGGCTGGGCGTTTAGAATTTTAAAATGCATGACACTGCGTGGCGCGTCACTGAGCGGTGCATTTAATGTGCGACCCCCTTAAGAAGTGTGTTTTACAAAAGGCATATTAAAGTGTTTGAAGAGAATCATTCATTTATCAGCAAATACAGCAAGTAATCTTTGTAAGGAGGAACATTGTAGAGATTATTTAAGTAGTTTGCCATAGATGTATACACTAGATATCACATACGGACCCTGAGCGTGTGTCAATAGCGCCACCACATTTGTACAGTGCTCCTAGGACAAATGTCATTCTACCATACTAGTCAAGACAGTTGTGGCAATGTGAAGATGTTATACTTTAGTGCTGTGTACAGGTTTAGTAACATGCAAACAAAGAAAACAAAGCATGAAGGCATAAAATTTCATAGGTAAGAGTTTTTTTAAGTTTTTGTGTTATGAACTTTTGTGCTTAACAAATATTGATGATAATACAGTCACTTTTGCATTTACCTCAAGGCAAAGGAGCACCAACTCGCACTAAATTTTAGGCTTATGTTAGTTTTGCTAAATAAAATTAGCAAACAATGAAAAATAAATATGACAACAAGATGCTGCGGTGCCAGAAACTTGTATTATTTTCGGCTAAGTGTCATTCATAACGGAGATTTATTTACAAACAAATTGCTCGCGCCATTAAAATCAGAAGTGACTCATCCATCCACTCATCCATTAATGAAAAGTGATGTAAAATGATAATTTTCGAAATGTAAAAAAATATTTGCATACTGACCACCGGGAAAACTCCTGGTCATAGATATATGTGTACATCTTTCTCTCTGGATGGCCAAAGTCCTCAACTGCACCTTGGTCCTGCATTAATTTCAAAGGAGCGCTACCCTGTACTAAAATGGTGGCTCTGTTGATGCATTCCTTC